AGGAAAACCGACATTAAAATCCAGCTTCTGCACCAGCCAGCCTCCGTTTGCCTCTGCACCCCACAGAGCCAGGGCAGATCCCAGTGTAAATCAGCACGACCCCACAGGCTAGCAGAGCTGTAAAGCAAGCCAGTAAATCTCTCTCTAATTGCGTTTAAGAGAGCCAAACGCACTGGGCACTGATTAAAACCGTAGCCCTATGCCCTCCTCGCAGCGTGTTGTGCCGGGAACGGGGCAAGGACAGCAAGGTGCCCCGTGCCCTGGCAGGGGGAGGCAATGGCAGCCCCCAAGCCGGGAGGGGAGCCGGATCAAGTGGTTTAGATCAGCCCAGTGTAAAGAAGAGCTGTTGGAAAAGAGCAGCCATGAAAAGATGGGGGACCCTGGGTGGTTCCTCTACCACCTTTAGTGAGGGAGGCAAAGCTGAGGAGGGGGCTGAACCCAGCTTGCCACCGCAGCTCTGTAATTTGGAGCAATGTCCTGATGTTAATTAATAGTTCCTGACCTTCCTGAACAGTTTGGGCTGCACAGCCACAGCTTGTTCCCTTCCCCACTTGTTAATCACTGCTTATCCAAGTGTCCTTCGGTAAGAGTCAGCATCTGCAAAGGGGGTGTTATAAAAGCTGACAGCTCATCTGTGAGCAGAGACACTTTCGAGGACGTTGCAGAAAACCGAAACCTCCAAGGGCAGCACAAGCCAGCGCTGGTCACTGGGAGCCGCGTCTCTTGATGCCGGCACAAAGGGACAGCGAAATATTTCGAGGCACCAACAGCAAAGGAAGAGCAGAGACGCCTGGGACTGGCAAGCCAAGGCTGCCGCTGCCAGGACATCTTTCTCATGTCGCTGAGCAGGATGGACAGGAGCATGCCGGAGAGGGAAACGGTCTCCCAGACGTCGCCCGCAGCCCGCTCGGAGTCGTCGGCGCAAAGCCTTTTAGCTCGGCAATTAAATTCGCAGCTTCCCCCTGGCACTCCTCCACGCGCCGCTCTCGCCTTGCTTCCACCGACGCAGTCGGGAATCGCCGGGGCAGACACCGCGGCCGCAAAGTGGCTCCATGCAGAGCCCCAGCGTACACCTCTGTGCCGGGGGCTCCCCCCAGCCCGTGCAGGGACCCCCCAAATGAGAGCTCCTCCAGAAGCCGAATCCACGCTGGTGCCAGCATGTCTGAATCCCACCTGGATTTGCCCAAACACGCTCCTTCCCATCTCCCCCCTTCCAAATGCCGACAGCTCGAGGCACGCAGGCATCAAATCAGGCTTTAACAACTCTGTGGTGAGTGGTGGGACATAAATCAGCCCCACTGCCAGCTTACACCAGCGATGGATTCGGCCCTCCATTATTTATACTTCACTGCCCGGCCAAGCCTGCCGCTCCGACACCGCAGCGTGCACGCAAAGCTTCAACAGCGGCCAGATTAATTAATATTTCACAGCGGTGATTAGACTCGGGCATTAAGACCACACCAGCCCTTTTGCACGTGGGGGAAACTACCCATTAAGGTCTGAGCTGCGCACCGGGAGGTTCGCGTTACGTACCTGGCAGGCCGGCAGTGCCTGTTCGAGGGGAGGAGAAGGAGAGTTAAGCGCCTTAACGGGTGCCTGGTTTCATTATACAATACACGGCAGAGGGAAAGCTGGGCAAAGGAAAGAGCTTAAATAGCAGGAAATTCACTCAAACTCCAACCTCGACGCAGCTCCTCAATGTGACAGGTTCACCAGGTGTTGTGTGGACATGGTGTGTCTGGTCTGGACCACGTAGGTGGAGAAACTCTGACGGAGGCAACCGTCCACCCAGCATCGGGACTGGCCTCTGAAAACTGCTTAATTAAGAGCCAGGTTCATTTTACAAGCCCGGGGCCTTGCCCCATGCAGCGCAGAGCCAGATGCGACAGAATAGCCAAGGACACAGGAAGGCTTGCAAGTTTGAAAGGTTTTTAGAGAACAAAAAAAAAATGCAAACCCCCCACTCTGTTTTGCATGTTCAACAAAAAACACAATAAGGACCTTTGTGAGATGCTGACCACACACGTTTCTGTGGTTTCCTATTTCCCCAAGATATGCTACATCAAACCCCACAGCCACTTTTAGTTTTTGGCAGAAAACCTCAGCGAACACCCTCATTTACAAGAGAGACAGAAGCGTGGTGGGACCGGCCATGGCCACGCTTTCTCTCCAGCCTTTCTGGGTTGTTTGCAGCCCCTGCGGAGGGGGAGCAACTCCAATCCCCAAGGCAGAGCGACCTGAGATGGAGCTACAAAGGATTCAGCTGGGAGCGGAGCATCTCTGGAAGTGCGTTTTCTTGTGCAATTACTGATTGCGCAAGCAATTACCAGAGCCTTTAAGCGGTCGGAACCTCGATGAGGTTTGAGGTGAGCAGTGCCAGCTCCTGGCCTGGCAAAATCCCCTCTAGCGCTTTCTCCAGGCAGAGGAATCCCCATCTTCACTGCAGGGGTCAAATCCTGCCCAGACACGGCAATGCCATCTGGAAACGTTCCAGGAAAAAAGCCGTGGACTCGGCCACAGCCATCAAGGTTTAACACAAACCCTCAGGAGAGCCGTGACCGGGCAGCTCAGGAAAGCCCCCAGCACTGCCGACACCACAAACAGCCCTTTTTCCTCTACGAGCGCTGAATTAATTTGCAGATCATTTAGTTAAAAAGCATAGAAGAAAAAAAAAAAAGCCAAAAAAAAAAAAAGCTTAATTGCTTTCCACTTCCCCCTGCTGACCCATCCAGTCCCACCGAGCACTATTTATTTAGTGCAAAACCCATCCGCTTGCGCGGCTGCTGGCTGTGACTCAGTGGCACGCCGGCAGCCCCAGACAGCTCGCGAGGACCTTGCTGGCGCCCACCACCGACAACTTGCCCCGAGCTGCTGCCGAAAAAAAAAAAAGGGAACCTTCTCTATTTCCAGCTTCGCTGGCATGGGAGGAGACAGCTCGTGTCGGTGACCAGAAAGCAAAGCGAGGGAGTGTGGAGGAAATAAACTGCGGTGAGCGGCTGCGAGGCCGGATAGTTGGATTACAGCTCCCAAAGGCTTGCTGCCGCAGCTCCGACACACGCTGCCTTCAGCTGCTGCCGAAAAAAAAAAAAGGGAACCTTCTCTATTTCCAGCTTCGCTGGCATGGGAGGAGACAGCTCGTGTCGGTGACCA